TCATCAGCGTCTTCTCAACGTCTACTTTAGTAGTTAGTTCCACGGTTAAAACTTGTTTCGCACCCCCGACCCGTCCGGAGACCACCATCCCGCCGACTGCAGCCCCGAGTGTGTCGGGGGACCGACGCGCGGCTAAACTTTCAACTACAGTTTCACTTTGGACCGAGGTGGTATCGTATATATATATATATATATGTATAAAAAAAAGATTCTCCCGCCTCCCGAGGAATCGCGACGAGATCGAAGGTTTCGGCGCGCACGAATCCGTTATTTACAACGTTTCATCTTAGGTACGAACCCCCCGGACTTGCACGCGGGTCTCGCGAGTCGCGAGCCCGCCGAGACCTTCGATTCGCTTCCGGGGGAGGCCGGCCAACGTCGATCCCGCCTCGACGGCCGCGACCGGGTGCGAGGATAATTTACAAAAAGGCCTATACAAAAGTCCGTAAGAAAGAACGACTAAACATACATACCTAGAGATTACGCGCTAGACATTTACACGCTGCCGGCTACATCGGCACGCTACGAGAACGCCGTGGAAATTAGTGTCTAAGGACAGGACGCGCGGACGCGGCCGATCGGTAGCGCGGATCGACGCCGGGTGTGGTCTCCGGATTGTCCTCGGGCCCCGTATCCTTGCGTTTTCGTCCCACGGTCACAGGATTAAACACTTTTGAATACTTTTAGCACCTAGTGCCGGCGGCACCTCCGCCGCCGTTACTGTCACGTCGATTAGTCGCGGGACAACTCGTCGGCGAGGCTCGGCTTGCGCGAGATCGGGTACGTATTTCCCGTCGATAAGACGCGATAGGGGATTTGTTGCGTGAAATTTTCGGTATCGTATTTCGCACCTCGAACGCCGCTATTCCCCCCGCGAGGTTCGGCGCGATTGTTATCTCGGAAATTACGAAGCGCGATATCGAACTGGTTCACGTGTAGAAAACGGGAACACCGCACGCGGCTAATATTCATCAGGGACCAATGAGATGCTCCTGAGGCTGCAACACGGAGGACGGAGCGTGTTCATTTTAAAACGCGACCCATAATTCTCTTCTTTCGTAGGCGACATTTAGTAAAGGAAGACGGTTCTGACTGACGAAAGTGGAATTTTCGTTGTAAGGCGTTAACTTGATGACCATTTGCTTTACAGTAAAAGTTTATAATAACGTAACATTGCGAAGCGAAGCCTCGGTAGCGTTTTACGATGAACAGCCTGCAGTTTGGTTCGGTCGCGCCGACGAAAGTTAAATCGGTGTGGAGCGAGCCTTTTAAAAAATCAGCGCCAAGGTAATCTCGTTAAACTCTCCGGGCAACAAAATAATCTGCTGTTGAAAATTTAGCGCTCGTCCGCGCCGAAAGGTCGCATCTATTTCTGCAAGCCGAACGAGCCCGTCGCCTCGCCGACAAGGACAATAACGCGCGGCCTTTTTAATTACGTAATCACCTAATTAACCTCGTGAACGATAAGCGACGACGTTGCTCCCTCGAAACTGCCCCGCCCGCCGTTCATCCCGCTTTCTGATTGACTCTCGTTATCTTTGTACTTGACTCTTTTTCCTCTCGGCCCCGCCGAAGCCTCCGCGGACGATTCCGCGTCCGATCGGGAAGAGTTGCTGTCGAAGGGGATCGATTACGCTACAAATGATGGTTAAGTCACAAATTAACGTTCTCGCGTTCAAGGTAATTTATCTTAATCGCCGGAGATCTTATCGGCCGCTCGAAAACACGTTCCTGCTTACGAGCTACTCGCGAGCGGCGCCTACGGGACGATCGGAAATTAATTAGAAAGAATTTCCGGGATCGGAAGTTTAAACGCGTAGCATGAAGGAGTTGCTATTGCCGAGGTTTAACGATTCGAAGACGCTTTCCTCGACAGCTCGGAGGGTCATCGACTCCGGATGTCAAATCGAAAGGTAATATCTCGAAAGGAAATCGATTCCCGATGGTTTTTCTGCGGCGGACGGGCGGGGACCAGCTCGCAGGCGCAGCCGAGCAAATATCGAGGGGCCTGCAACGAGGCCACTTACGTCCCTCGCGAACACACCGGCTGGCTCTTTTTCTATCTCGCCTTCTACTTCTCTTCTCCTTGCACATCACTCGCTGCACTCTCTTTCTTTCTCTCTCTCTCTCTCTCTCTCTCTCTCTCTCTCTCTCTCTCTCTCTCTCTCTCTCTCTCTGTCGCGCGCGCACTCACGATTTCTCCTACATTCTACTGCATTTATTATAAAAATAAAATGTAAAATCGTACCGAGGACGAGTTTTCCGAACGGTATAAAACTGCGAGCTCGTTTCTCTCTTTCTCTACATTATCACTATACTCGCGGAAGGATCGATTCTTCGTTCCTTGATCGCGTTGTTCCTTCTCGTTTTATTTACTCGTCTCGTGCGAGTGAACGGGCCGTCTCTCCTCTCGGTCTTTGCCTTCCACATCCGAGTCCAACGTAAAGGTCCTCCGCGCGGCGAAAGCTATTCGCGATCAGATCTTCGCGACTCGTTTAAGGAGCCCCCGGGCTTTACGTACTTAGTGCCTGAATAGCTTTCCGCCGCTGTGCCCGGAATCGCGCATCCGGCCGCGATTCTCGCGCGAGACGAGGGGACGCGGCGCGCCGCGTCGCGTCGCGTCGCGTCGCCTCGTATCGGCGCTTGATCGATGGAGAAAAAAAGACCTGGAAGACACCTTACCTTGCCGATCTCTTATCGGTCCACGGATCTTTCTCTCTCTCTCTCTCTCCCGATCACCGACGGCTCGCTCGACACGAGAATTGGGGGACAAGTGTGTAGTTCCTACCGTTTCGCGAGAACCCGGTGAAGAGTGAGTGCATCTTGAATATAATACATAGGCTCTACAGATATATATTCATTATTCAATTCTCCGACTATATACCAGTGAAAAAATAAATTATTACACGTTGGTAATATCTGTGTGGGTCAATGTCGCGTATATGTGGTTTGCCTCTTTTTCCATTTCTTGTTTGTCTTCGTTTAATACGTACGTGTGTCTCGTGCATGGGTGGACGTGTGTGTATGTGTGTGTGTGTGTGTGTGTGTGTGTGAATGTGTGCGGTGGCCTACGTGTGCCCGCGTGTGGGTTCGTATCGCGTGTACGGGATTGTATATAAGGGAAGATCGGTACAATATCTGTGTGTATATCCCTATGATGTGTCGCGTAGTGTGTTTTTACTGTCCTAGATGCGCGCTCGACGCGTCGCTCGGTATGTCCGCCGGTGCGCTACGTGTGCATGACGGTATACCTTTTGCGCGTGTGCCCTGGTTGTGTGTATGTGTGTCGTAGGTAGCCGCACGATGGCTTCCGTCTCGAACGAGCGTCTCGCGCCATCGCCAATCGAGTCCTTATCGGGTTTTAACACATATACACGCTCTCGTTAGCCGTTAGCCGCTTCCTTCCGTCTCCTCTTCTCTCCTCCACGCCTAAAACGGTTCTGCACGCACACGCTACCTTGCAACCAGCCGTACCTCAGAACCAGGCATCGTCTCCACACGCACACGCTATCTCTCTCATTCTCTCTCTCTCTCTCTCTCTCT